GAACCGCTATCCCAGCAAAACCTAACACACACAGTACACAGTCAATGACTACCCTGTGGCCGACAGGTGGCTTAGAAAAGAACGAGGCTTCTGAATTTTTGTACCCATTTAAAAAAACTGACAATGAAGTGGAAAAATCAAAACAGCAAATGACAAATCACTAAGCTTCTTACCAGTTCACTAGCAAGAATGAGAACTCCTGAGAGATAATCTTCTACATCCAGGTGAAATCCCTTCTCCCGATCTGGCTCAACTAAAAAATATAACAAAGTAAAGACAAGGTCGTGATGGAAATACAACTTACACCTGAAACTTTTTAAAAATACAGACACACACACATACACACATGTGTAATTTCTCTCAAAGTGAAAAAGGAACAAGTCCTTCAAAACTATCTCTTGAATGTGGACATATCCTTGGCACTGTGGACTTTTCATGCTCTCAAGCAGAATTCAATTTTTCCTTCCATTCTTCTTTCAAAATATAATACCACCAAAGGGCTTCCCTGGTGTCACAGTGGCTAAGAATCTGCCTGCCAATGCAGGGGACATGGGTTCGAGCCCTGGTCCAGGAAGATCCCCCATGCCGCGGAGCAACTAAGCCCGTGCGCCGCAACTACTGAGCCCCCGTGCCTAGAGCCCGTGCTCCGCAACAAGAGAAACCACCGCAATGAGAAGCCCGCGCACCACAATGAAGAGTAGCCCCAGCTCGCTGCAACTAGAGAAAGCCCACATGCAGCAATGAAGACCTAACGTAGCCAAAAATAATAAATATTCAACCAAAAATAATAATAATAATAATACCACTAAGAATATATGTTATGTCTGAGAATACCTTTGTTTTTAGAAGTGCATGCTGAAGCACTGAAGTGACAAGTCATGGTCTCTACACCCGGCTTTCAAAGGGTTCACACATGCCCCCAAGGCACACACAGTAAGAGACTAAGCAGATGGGCCAAAATGTGAACAAGTAGAGGATCTAAGTGAGGGGTACACAGGGGTTCACTGCACTGTTCTTTCAACTTTTCTGTAGGCTTGACGTTTTTAAAAACTCAAAGGAACGCCCAAGTACAAAGAGCAAGCCACTACATATTTTTAGTTTTTCTGTTTCCAAGTAACCCGTTTTCCATTTAGCTCTCATTTGTTTCCATAAATAGAAAGCCCCCCCGCCAAAACCTCAGCTGGCCCTGCAGGTAGACACGCCTGCGGACACTCACTGCCAAGGATCTCCGTGACCGCCTCTCGAGTCACGAGGGTCTCCGACTCCAAGTACACGACGAAGGCTGCCAAGAAGACCAGGCGCTGTAGCACAAACCTCCAGTGCTCGTGAAACCTGCAGCGAGCGTGAGGCACCAGCGTCAGAAAGACAGAATGGGGGCAGCCATGGCCAGACACATGAGGAGTGGGGCCCTTTTTCAAATAAAACTTATAAAACATGTAAGAGCAATGTAACATTTAAGTATATGAGATGGATTCAGCATAAGTACACTGGACTGGATTTGCCAGTCCAAATTTATAACAATTACTTACTATAATTTTAATGAATGAGAAGCATGGTCCAATTTTGATAAATGCAAAACTTTACAACCAAAGACTATGGACAAGAGCAACTGTGCTTTAGAAGTTTAATCAGTAAATACAATAACACTGCTCTGAGAAAAATGTGGGCGAATGAAGATTGATGAGAACCGCAACTATACATCAGCCTCAGCACCTGACTGTGTTATTCTCTGAACTGAGTGCAGGGTATCAAGAAACTCCTGATTCACACACATAGGAAATAACTACCATTTGTAGTCACTAAACAGGTGAACTTAAAACCTTGGGATACTGCAGTTAAACCGAGCTAGGAGCCTGAAAAAGAAATAGAAATTTTACAACCCCTAGATATTTATGCTATGCCTCCTGATTTTCAAATGTGGCAACAAATTCAAAACCATCTTTCAACAAAACCCAGGCCAAACAAAACATTCTGAGGTCCAAATCAGCCAGAGGGCAGCCTGTGTGTGAACTCCAAACACCATGGTCTCTAAAGACCCTGCCAGTTCTATTGTCCTACTTCTCTAAGCATCAGTTATTACCTTACAGCAGGGGTCAGCAAACCTTTTCTGTGATTGAGGTTTGGGGGTCACTTTCAGTCTCTGTCACATACTCCTATTTGTTTTTTTTTCTTAACAACTCTTTAAAATATAAATATATTTATATAAAATATAAAAGGCCACAGAAGTTTGCGGGCCCCTACCTTTAAAGAATCTTGTGAGGTTATACTATCCACTCCCCATATACATGTCCTAACTATTCCTTGCCTATAACGTGTCTTAAAAGAACATCTTCTCTAGTGAGAAAGCAAGCATAAGTAGAAAAGTTTAGGTTCCTATTTACTATATTTCATCAACACTCAGTTTTCCCCAGTTTAACATCTATGAAATCATGATGTATTGTACAATCTACATTTCACAATTATGATTAACAACAAACTTTTTCCCTAGTGGTATGAAAAATAACATTGTATCTTAAAATTAATAGTGTTGTACATTCAAGGAGATATGGCATATTACCCACATATGTCACTTGGCAGTGAAATTCGATATTCAGTATATTTATACACACACACATACACTGCCACTTAATCCCATAACCTTAACAGCAAAGATAGGGTTCATCCAACTTCACAAGTAACTTGAATATATTAAAAATATATTCTCTATTTTGACCTTTACACAATACATATTTTCTTTTTAATTACCTTTACATTGCAAAAATTATACATGTTCCTTAAGAAAATTTTGAAAGTGAAAGGGAGAAAAAAATAAAATCAACAATTTTGTCACCATTAAAATGCTACCACTATTAACAGTTCCTTTTTCTTTCTGTTGCTTCTTCTAAGTAGAGGGATTTTTACCAAAGCAATCATTTTAGTTTATATAATTTTTCTCTTGCCTTTTTTTACTTAACGTTATAAAAGATTGTCTTACAACTAGTTGTCTTACAAACCTGTAATACTGTTCAGCAGGAAACTTGGTCTTCAAAGACGTCAGATGTGTTTTTACTGTACCAAAATGTTCTCGAGCTTTCAAACACCTCTTTGGAACTGATCACAAAAAGATAACCAAACATAATAATGACAGACTGAGCAGATTTCAAATACAGCTCTTGCTTAACAATCTATGTAGTCTACCTGGAAATTTTTTTTAAATCTCATGACCAAATGTAGGGTATACAGCTCTGCTTTCAATCTGGCTCTCAAAATTTCATATCTAGCTTCCCCACTAAAAAATAAACAAACAAAAAATTGCTAAAAGGGAATATGTTGGGTAACATACTGGTAAACTGTCATAAATAATCTCATCTTTAAGCTGCCTTTCCTAGTCAGTCCCCAAAGGATGCCTAAAATTGGACTGCTTCTAGCTCCCATATTTGGTCAAAAGGCAGCTTTATAATTATTCTCAATCAGGCTGACAAACTCTGTATCACCTAGAAAAATGACTTGCCCCTGACACCTGTTAATTACATCATTATATCATTATCTATCTGAAACTATATTTCAGCTCTCTCAGTTATGCTGACTACATCTTACAATGGAGGTTCCATGTCTAAACTTCTCGTACTTGATACCGAAAGAAGAGCTGACTGTAAACACATTGACAACATTTTACACTGGCCATTTCATTATGTACAAATGCATATTAAATTATTTTCAATGACTGAAAGACTGGGTTTAAGAAAAAGAGCCAGATAGAAGTTGCTAGATACACAAGACAGCTATGAAACTACCACAATTATCATCAGTATAACTCTCTATCGCAGGAGAAAACATTCCTATTTCCACCTACGTGAAACTAGAAAATCAAAATACACAGAATTCTGGAAACCTGTAAAATGATCAACTCACCCACTTCACCAATTTTTACTCACCATAAAGCATGAGAGACATTTTTCAGACTAAATAATACAGATTTGATATGTCTTCTGGATGTAAATTAACTATTTAAATGAGAGATGAATAAATTGGATAAAAACCTTCAAAATCAAAACAAAGAACTTACTGTCCTGAAACCCAGCACCCTGATGGACCCCTTGCAGTAGAGTTAAAATCTCTCGAGCTGTTTGTTCTAAACTCTGTACAACTTTTCGGATTTCCTAGAAAGAATTAAAGATGAAAATATCAGATAAATCCAACATAATCATTATATTATCATAGCCTCAAACCAAATATACTAAACAGCATATTTGATCTATGACACCTTCACATAGATTCAAAACACTAGCAACCTTTACAAGGACATGAATGGTGCACAAAATATCCAGATTTGAATCCTGACTTTTCCACTTACTTCCTCTCTGAGACCTTCAGGAAGTCACTAAAAAGCCTTAGATTCCTGATATAGACTTCAAAGGCTAATTGCCACCCACTCACCCAAAATATCCCACTCCAACACTAAAGGAGATGAGGCACCCACACGTAAACCAACAAGAGAAGAATGAAACGCAGTACAAGGATTGGGTATTTTTCATTCATTCATTTTGCAAATATTCACTGAGCACATTTTTAGGCACTGTGTAACTACTGAGGAACCAAGCTGGCAGCCCCTTCCTTCCTTTAGAGTATAACGGGGGAGGCATTTAAAAATTAACCATCACACAATTTTTTTTAATGGTAATGCACTACTAGAAGTAAACATAACAGGGTAAAAAATTATTTACATTTTGACATCAAGGAGGTGAACACGAGATAACCAGGAAAAGAGTGGGAAAGTAGTGCATTCCGGGAAAAGCAAGCAGTACATGCAAAAGTCCTGAGGCAGGAAGCTATTTGGGGAACTAGAGGAATAAAAGGGAGGTAAACTGAGCATAACACACAACGGAAGAAGGCGTAAAATGAGACTGGAGAGACCTGTGAGCCACAGTAGTCTGGATTTTTATCCTACGTGGAATGAGAAGCCATAGAAGAGTTTTAAAGAGAAGGGCACACGTGCTTTTAAGACACCAATAAACAAACACAACAAACACGCGTTGTCTGAGTCCCAAGCGCTAACTGAGGCTTCGACATAAACATACGCTAAAAAGGAGGAAAACTGACACCCAAATGAGGTAGGTGATGCCAAGGAACCGAGCCCCGAACACAGGGAACCAGGACCTGGCAGCAGAATCGGGGGCCGGGGGAGGGAAGTGCCCTGAGCCAAAACAAGACGGGGAGCAACCCACCCCCGGAGGCTTCCCCACCGCTCGAATTTGAGCGACGGAGGAGGGCCGGGCGTCGCGGCCCAGCTAGGCAAGGAGAGGGAAAGGGGATGGGGAGAGAGGGGGCTCGCCTCTCGGATGTCCTGCTCGGCAGCCAAAAAGCCCTGCAGCTCCACGAAGATCTCGCTCACAGACATGGCGCCGGCCGCACGAGTGACAGCCAGGGCGGCGAGGGTGGCCAGCCGAGTTCGTTCGGGAGACAACCGGCGCCGTCAGTCACAACGCCCGCCACCGCCGCGGCCGCGTCCACCGGGCCCTCTGCTGGGCTGTCGCTGGGGTCCTCCCTGGCCCACGGCGCGCAGGAGGCCGGGCTGTCCGCCGCTCTGCCTGAGGCGCTGCCCGGAAGGCATAGCAAGGCGGGCAGGG